AGTATAATGGGCAGCTGCCTCGTCCTAGTTAGGGACTCATCGGCAGTATGCACCCACCAGCTTTCGAACCCAGGACCTTCCAGTTACAAGGCGAACTTGTAGACCATTCAAACACTGGGACCCGACTCACTGGGTAGCCCATAAATTTGAACTTCTACCAATTCGTGAACTCAGAGCGACCACCAGCCGATGTCATCAGCGAGTATCTGTCCTTACTTCCGACAGCGTGAAACCCACTGGTCACGACTTCTCAACAGAACTCCAGGTAATTTATTCCAGCAGCTAATCACTGGCAAACATCAGATTAATTTCCAAGATTTGTTTGTAGGGATTTGATTGGTTTCAAGTTTTATCACTCTCTACTTCTTAATGTTATGAATCAAATGAAAATTTTTCTTAGATATGAGACGACCAATAAAGATTTGAAGAGAAACCTACGCTAAGATAGGAGACATTCGATATACTCCGCGCTGTCATTATTAAAAAAATAATGGGACCGAATCAGTCCAAGCAAGTCTTATCCACGTCTGAGACTATAATCAACAGTAAGACATTTAGATGGATTTAGTTTAAGACCATTTGTTTAAGACCATTGGTCAAATTCAGATACGAAACTGTTCACACTTTAACAATCTAATGCAGAAATTACTGTCAGATCATTAGCATATTTAATGAAATTGGCTTCAAAAGATTACGGTAGGCCATACAAAAAGAAAGAAAGAAGAAATGGGAAAGTACAGAACCCTGAGGCACACCGGTTTCCGTTAGCAAAGAAGTGGAGCGCTTCCCATTTAAAACAGTATGTGTTTCCTACCAGATAAATTAAGAAGATAATCACCTTGTGATGCAAGATTCACTGCGTTATGAAACCAGCTTGATAAGTAAAGGACCCTAGGAATAGAATCAAAAGCAGCCACGTAGTCTTTAAAGGAGGATCAGACCAACTCTGCACCTTTGTCTAGACTCAGAGTAATAATATGGTAGAGTGTGATGGCAGTGTCTGAAGTGCTTCTACTGCTTTTATAAGCAAACTACTTTGGGTCATTAAAACATTTCTAAGAAGGTTTAAGAATAATGTTGAGAAGTTTCTCCATTATTATTTATTATTATTTTTTTTCCTTTAATTCCTAGAGGAACATAGGGCTTCAGCCGTGCGTCTCCATTGCGTTCGGTTCTCTGCTAAAGTTTTCACCTGGCTCCAAACCTGCCTACACATTTTCATCTCCTCTTCACATAACCTCCTCCAAGTCACCCGTGGACGACCAACTCGCCGCTTCCCATTCAAGTTCCAATCGAGGAATTGTCTAGTGATGCCACTTGATGGTTTCCTCAGAGTATGACCAATCCAACTACATTTCTTCCTGCCTATTTTTTGCACTGTATATCCCATTGGTATAATTTACCCATAATGAAATTACACTGTATATCCCATTTAGTCTTTGTATTTCAGACCTTATTAGAGAGTTTATTCTACGAACACCAGTATTATCATGTGATTGATATAAATTCTCTTTTTATCTTCTAAGCTTTTTTAGTTGTGGAGAAGAGATCCTATTGAATCTCATAAATAGTGTTTCAGCAGAAAAGCTAATGTCCAAACAGATCTTGAGATAGGAGGTGGTATGAGAGACAGTAACATCTGACATTTCATCAACGAATAGATCCCAGTCAGTATCATGCAGCATACATCTTAGTGAAAGAACACTGGCATGTGAATAGGATCGTTCCTAGAATTTCTTTGTTGACTGAACATAAACCCTTTTCTGTAACTTACCATACACTTTCGGTAAAATAAGTATAATACAATGCTGAGAACTCAGCAATGAAGCTCTCCTTCGCAACTCGTATATGTCACCATCGTTTATGAAAACCAAGTCTAGAGTTCTGTCCAGATGAATATTGAATCTGATAAGGCTGTCATGACCAAGTGATATGAGAAAGCTGTAATCTCAAGAATTAAAATCCCCACAGACTACTGGCAAGGAATTTCCAAAAATAGGAGCAGCAAATTCAGTAAATTCGTTTGCGAAGATAGATATATCAGATGAACTGCGGTCTGGTGTTATGTTATGTATTTATATATGAATATTTACCTAAATGCTGCTTCCGACACCTGACAGTGATGCAATCCATATTGTCATTGGAAAAATGAAGACATATATGATTAGGTGTAGCCCACTTTGTATTAATAAAAAGTCTCTACCACTCCGCCATGCTTTTTCTTTGAGCTATGTCCATCCCGAAGGAAAACTTCATATCCATTCGTATATGTACACTTTAAAAGAAAGTCTCAAAACACTAAAAATTGCGCTACAGTAGTCCACTTTGTTAGGCAGAGATCTGCAGTTAGTACTAACCACTTCGGGAACAGTCATATGATTAATTTGCATAGATTTTAATGCAAGCTGCCAACCATAACGATATGTTTTCTTCAATTTTTGAGGATGACTAAACTTAATAGATTTGAATAAGGCATTTAGAAGACAAATTTCGCGAGATGATATCATTTAATAGTTTCTTTACAACCGCTTTACAACTAACATGTAAAGAAACTATGAAATGATATCATCTCGCGAAATTTGTCTTCTAAATGCCTTATTCAAATTTATCAAAGGGACTAATTGTTTTAATAAACTTAATAGGTTAGAAAGGAAAGAAGTTGAAGGATCATAACCGAAGTCTAAGTCTTTCAGGAGTTGACCTTCACGAACCAATCAGACAAAGGGAATGCTATGAAATATCATTCGAAATCAAATCATGCCTATCTTTTTGGACGTGGAAACGATAGACACAGTATTCCACTTATTTACTAGGCACTTTTTCTGCAAATCTATACTGTTAGGTATGGTTATGGCTTTTAAGATTAAGGTTTAAGGTCTAGGGTTAAGGTTAGGTTTAGGGTTAAAGTTAGGGTTAGGATTATGGTGAGAGTTGAGAGTAGGTTGGAGAATAGTGTCAGAAATATCGATGGATCTCGAAAGTACCATGAAGTACGGTCACCTGGATCAATGCGTATATCGCACATGGTACGATTTCTCTATAGATCATCTGTGTATTGAATGGGAGATATTCTTACACCATGTAAGCTGCAACTACACGGTGTAATATCAAGTTTGAAGTATATTTTAGTGTATTTTTCAACAATTATGCGAATTTTTTGTATCTAAATTCTGATTAGCTGTCCAAAGTCACTGTGGTTTTGGCTACGATAGTTTAACTTTGCCTGGAAAGGCTTTGAAAATACGCTATTGCGAATAATACGATTTGAAGGCATTTGTGTTTGATCAAGACAAAAATATGGAAGCTAGTCGTAGCAAAATGTAAATTGATGGAAGATGACATTTTTGGTAGCCCAAAATTAAAGCCCAGAAAAGTGATTGTATGACCAAAACGTACATCTATAGAAATGAAACCTGGACGGGACAATATCTTCGCAAAAACTGCTTCTCTCCTATAATCTGTAAGCATGTATTAGTGAAGCCACTCTAAGATAGTGTCAGGAAGCTGTCTTCACCCACCTAGCTGGAAGAACACCTAGGTTTTGTTGAAAAAATGCCTAAGTGGGAATGAATATCTCAAGGGATTTATCATCAAGTATAGTTAGAAAAAAGGCGAGAAAATGAAACCCTCAACTGTGAACAATTATAAAGTCCGTCAAGGATAAAACAATAAGCTCAATAAATATACCAAATATCAGCAGAAAACTTCAAGACAACAAAAGATACTGAGACAGCATATTATAGGTATATAGATAAGTGAGTTATAAAATGGTAATAATTACTTAGTAGTTATCGCCCACCTCTACAAATCAACTACATAAACCACAGATACGGTCCACTGGCAGAAGTTGTTCACCGGTTATGACTGGTCATTGGACAAAGACAAAATATTCCCGTAAGCTCCGAAGAATACAACCCCAGAATTAGCGGAGCAAGTAGACAGTAGAAATCATTGAGAAGACGAAGAGAAGGACAGCACGACTATATTTTCATTCTAACGCAAAAGTTTCTTATATTCTACAAAGAAATCGATTAAACACAAGTGAAAATTGTGCAAATTTATTTTTCAGGACTCCACAAGCCTCTATTTCTCTTGCATTCAAAGGAGAAGCAGTAGCCCAAAGAATTCACAAAAGAATAAAATGAGCAGTAAAACGATGTCTCCATGTAGCTAAACTCCTATCGTTATACTGCAACACATGCTCACTAAGTCAATGTAAACTGGATAAGTACTCTGCCGATGGTATTTCCAAAAGCATCTACAAGTTTATCTGCCATTGTGTCACCAATTACATTGAAAGGACAGAACGAATAGCTTCTGTCCAGTTTCCTGAGCATAGTCCAAAAAAATTTCCACCTAAAGAGAAGCATATATTCACAAAATACAATTCATAGACACCTCATGGATACGCAACATTTTGTCAAGATATCCTAATCGGTAAAAATATTAAATGTACAAATAACAGTCAAATTTACTACGACTTAACGAAGTGATTGCAGACAAACATATACACAGAGAAAAAGACTGTGATCGATCTCTCATTGCCATGGTAACTGAAATTTGTTCTCGATTATACTGATTAATCATCCATATTAGTGAATTTCAGCTCATTGAGCAAATTCCACATTTATGAAATATAATTTTCTAGAGTTGATTTTTAGACTTGTAAGCTAACATTGCCTGTTAGATAATTCTATGTTCTATCATATACCCCTCCACCTATTTGTACTTTGAAATTTAGATAAATTCATAATGAGTTTTAAAAAATCATTATATTTCTTACATTTTCCATGCGTTAAATACTACAACATTATGTGTGCCGTCATTCTAACATTCAAGTACGTCATTATCAGTCACTTATAAACATCCTAACTTTACCTATTCTAAAGCAGAAAAGATACTAAACACAGAATTGCTCAGACGCAAGATATAAAGTGTGAAAGCAGGAAAGATGCAACACTATCTGGTCTTCTGCTTAATCATTGTCATTACCATCTACAATGTGCACGGTGAGTATTTGACAATCACTGTCAATCGTAGTGTTTGGTGAGTTGTGTGTGCAATTTATCGATTGCGTTTAATTTGGACTTCTGAACATTAAATGTCACGTCCTATGGGAAATGCTGCACCCGGCGATCTGATAAATTGTGAACTAACGAAACCCTGCAGTCGGAGTGTCAATAATGTAGAATTAGATAATATACTTCTGATCGTATTATTCGATGGCTTTGATAACCATTTTCTTCACCATTTCATATGCATCTAAAGTCGTCTGCATGTGTTATCCCGTTATGCAGTAAATTACAACCGCTATAATTCTGAACGCATTCCACGCATGAAATGTTTGCGTCTTTCATTCACAGAACAATTGTGCTATTCATCGCTGTTGTTTCATTCCATGAATCATCTTTTGTAACACCACGACAATTTCATCAATCATATTCAGTCTTTTTCATTTGATGACCTCATTTCGTGATCAGGTTCAACTTTCTCGTCTTAACTGTTTGTGTCTATAACTGATGCAGCAAAATTGACAAACAGTTAAGACGAGAACGTTGAACAGATCACGAAATGAGGTCATCATATGAGAAAGACTGAATAGGATTGATGAAAGTGGGGTGAGGTTACAAAAGATGATTCATGGAATGAACCAACAGCAATGAATAGCACAATTGTTTTGTGAATGATAGACGCAAATATTTCATGCGTGTAATTGGGTCACCAAATCAAAACAATCGGATATAATCGATGGGGGCGGATGAGGTGGCCAATAAGCGAATGGTCGATAAAACATGACACCAACAAGATTCTGTGAATTAATGGTCATCAGGTGAGAGTCTATGGATGTCCTCACCAAATGCGTGCAAAATGTGGTGAGTGATATTGTGACACCGCATTCCCATACAGAAACACATGATGATTGACAATAAAATGTAAAGCAAGTCTACGTGTCATCAGTCAAAATTAAATATCATTTGAGGAAGCAGATGGGTTTATAAATGAGTAAGTGATTGATAAACCATGACATTAATAAGGCTGTGTGAATCATCGTCACATGAGAGTCAAAGTATGTCCTCATCACGTGCCTGAGAAATATGATGTGTGATATGCTAATCAAGTGTGTGTGAATAATGACCAATGAGTATATAAGTACGCGACTGTGTGAATTATCTTATGTTGAGTGAGTCGCTACTTCGAGTTCATCACACGAAGATTATTAAGAGGAGGAGGAGAGATGAAACACTATCTGGTCTTCTGCTTAATCGCTGTCATTGCCATCTACAATGTACACGGTGAGTATTTGACCATCGCTGGAAATCGTAGTGTTTTGTGTGATTTGTGTGTGCTCGTGTGCTTGTTTGCTCGTTCATGCTTTTCAGTGCTCACTTCTACCAACTTCTGTATCGACGTGAGTGTCAACATGAAGTGAATGGGTGTGCTTCTGTGTGAATATTTTTGTGTGGATGTGAATTCGACGTGTATGTAAGGTTCAATGGAGTGATTATTATTCGAGGCGAGATGAATTTTTGGTGTAACTGTAAGGAATATGTGTCACTGTTCATGATATATTGAATAAAAGGAAAGACAATTGAGCGAATGAAATTCGCTTTATTGGCGAAATCGTCTTCACAGCTGCTGTACAGTCGTAATAATATTTCCCAAAAATGTATAAGAATCGATTGTTGGGTAAAAGGGGTGATATTTCTCCTTTATATCTTAAAAATGCAAAATTAAAATTTTGAAATTATGTGATACCCAGTGAAACTAAAAAAGTAAAGGTGAGAAATATGGTGTGGTCAAAATTGTTGTTGAATGAAAAGAAGCATAGTTGAGTGTCCATGTAGCAATAACTGGTGAAAATGTATCCCGGAAGAAAATGATATGTCTTGATGTTACGTCTCTCTTCACCAATGTTCCTCTCACAGAATAAATTTGTTTTATATGCGAATTCAATGTGGACAGTAAGTAATATGGACGTGGGTGTCTTGATCCACTTTTTAGCGGAACTACTATTGAGATGCACTTCCAATATCCAGTTCAAGTTCAATAACACACTGTAGAGACAATGAGATGTAGTGTCAATGGGGTTGCAATTGATTCCTTTACTTGCAAACTGCTTTTCGGTAAGTCTAGAGAATAGTATGCTACGAACCAATATCGATAGTTTCCATATGTATCAAAGATACATGGATTATACTTTCATCATATGTGACGAGAATGCTAATATCGAAATAATAACTAGGGATTTCAACAACTACCATCATGCTATCGAGTTCACGTCGGAATCAGAGATGAACTCGGAATTCTATTTTTTGGATGTTTTGTTAAGAAAGAGATTTGACGGTTCTCTTCGAAGATCAACCTACAGGGAACCAACATTAAATGATCAATACATGGATTTTCATAGTTGGGTCCCTTTGAGAATAAAAGAGAAATCCAATCCACTCCTTCTCCTCAAGATTAGGAAGGATATGTACCAGTGATACAACGGATGGTGAAGTTGAAAAACTCAAATAAGTCCTCATGAAAATGGATATCCTGAAAGATTCATCGAGAAAAACACGAAAATAAAGCAGAAACCACAATCAACCCAGGTGACACCGAAGAAGGTGCTGTTCATCAGCGTTGAATTTAATGGTGATAACGCAGCTGACATTCTGAAGTACCACTAATCCAGACCACTGAGAAAAGTCTTCTCTTCAGCTGAGCTACAGATCAATTTCTGCAGCCGACAAATGATCAATGGATGTGTGAAGCATAAACTACCACATTGGGCCGCTTCATTGTGTGTCTATAAATTCACCTGCTTGTGTGGAGCTAGTTATATTGGCCAAACAAAGCGCACAATTTCCAAACGCATCCTTCAACATTACCTAGGATGGTTAGCAGAAGGACAATGAAAGACAGCTACTAGCTCAATTCTCGTGAACTCTAGCCACGTAGCATCGCCAGAGTGGTCTTTCAAGCTTATCTACAAGGTGAGGCCAAATGGTACAAATGGCGTCAGGTTTCGGCATCTCTCTATGCGGAGGCATTGGCAATTCGTCAATACAACCTCGAAGTCTGTGTGCAGAAATGGTTGTCCAGTCTCATATTCCACCATGGTACTAACCTCTTCACCAGTCGTTCGCTATACATTTTTATTTGCAATTTTCAATGATTACTTTGGTTTAATAATTAATTCCCTATTGTAGATATGATAGAGAAGATTTGTAGCTCAGGTGGATGATTTTGATATGGTTGTGTTCCCTGAGCTGGATGGTTAATTTGCGAAGCTTTCATCGCCCTACTAGGCGACATCTTCAGCGCATACTTCAATTTGAAGTGAGCTTTCAGATTTCTCCACGAGTTTATTAGTCATCTCTCCTGATGGCCTTGGACGTGATTGGTTGTTTTTGTGTGTTTTCACACCTTCTAGGCTACTTGTGTTGGAACTGATTGTTTATTTGACTTGAACTTTGACCCTTTGTGTGTATGAGGTTTCTTTCTTATCGGTTGATAAATTTTGTCTATCTCGATGTGTCTATTGATTGATGATTCACTGGAATGCCAAGCTTCTAAAAATTCTCTAGCATTTTTGTTGTTTCCTCTGTCTAATATTTGAACGCTGGTTGTCCCAGTCGAATTGATGTCCATGGTTGTCTGTATGTAGTGATATGAGGGAGTGGATGTCATGTCTTTTGACAGCTAGCTTATGTTCGTGGATACGAAGACGAAGGGGACGTCCACTTTGGCCAATGTAGTGTTTTTCGCAGTTGATACAATCTATTTTGTAGATGATGTTGGTTTTATCTTCCTTCGCTGTTGAGTCTTTTGGTTGACATAGAATTGAGAGAAGTGACTTTGTTGGTTTGTGTACGACGTCACTTCCTAAAGGTTTGAAGAGTCTTGTAGTGATTTCTGAGATGTCCTTTATATATGGCAGGGCGATTTTCTTTGTGCTTTCCTTGGGGGATTTTGGTTTGATAGGTTGGCTTGGGGGTATATGTCTTTTGATGAAATTCCGTGGATATCCATTCTTTTGGAAGACGTCCATGAGATATTTTTCTTCAATTTTCCTTAAGGTGGGAGTGCTGCAATGAGTCCTGACTCTCTTGAATAATGTTTGTATGCAATTCCTCTTGTGTGCTATGGGATTGTTGCTGTTGTAATTCAGGATTTGGCCTGTGTGAGTTGATTTTCTATAGACTTGAGTTTCTAATTCCCCTGTGGTTGTTCGTTTGACTAAGACGTCCAAAAATGGAATTTGGTTCTCTGATTCCTCTTCTCTTGTGAATTTGATGTCGTTGAAGACGTTGTTTATCAGGTTGTGAGCTTTATCTAACTCGTTTCTTTTGATAATTACAAATGTGTCGTCTACGTAGCGTATCCAAATCTTGGGTTTGATCTTTGGTAGAATTATGTTTTCGAGTCTTTGCATCACTGCTTCTGCAATTAAACCTGATATTGGCGATCCCATAGGTGTTCCTTTGACTTGTTCATATATTTGGCCGTTGAATTGGAAGTACGTTGTTAGGCATAGGTTTATGCATTCCATCCAGCTTGTGTGTTGCATTTTTGATTGTTGTGGAAGGTGTTCGTCGTTGCTAAGTAATTGCTCCATGGTTTCTTTTGCTAGTTTTTGTCCGATTGAGGTATACAATGCTGTGACGTCGAAGGATATCAATATCTCTTGTTCATCTATTTGGATGCCTCTGATTTTCTCTAGGAATTGGATAGCGGAGTTGATGGAGTGATCACAAGATTCCGTTAGGTGTTTTAGTTTTCTGTATAATTCTTTGGATAAATTATATGTTGGAGTTCCTGGGAGTGATACAACTGGTCTTAACGGGATACTTGGCTTGTGTATTTTGGGTCTGCCGTAGAATCCGGGTAGGACTGGTCCACTGGATTTCATTCGCCATTGGTCTTGTTTTGTGACTTGTGCAGTTTTGGTAAGCTTGTTTAAGGTCCTTTGGATGCGGTTGTCCAATGTTTGTATTGAATTTGTTGGGAGTTGTTGATACACATCCTCGTCTTTGAGTAGTTCTTCAGCTTTCTTGGTGTATTCTTCTCTGTCCATGACTACTGTTGTTCTTCCCTTGTCGGCTGGCAGGATGACGATGTCCTTCCTATTTTTCAGCTTTTTGTGGGCCTTTAGTTCTTGAGAGTTGAGGTCATCAGGAGAGATGATTAATAAACTCGTGGAGAAATCTGAAAGCTCACTTCAAATTGAAGTATGCGCTGAAGATGTCGCCTAGTAGGGCGATGAAAGCTTCGCAAATTAACCATCCAGCTCAGAGAACACAACCATATCAAAATTCCCTATTGTAACCCTGACATATTCCTTATGTAACTTTTCTCACCCTCTTCACACTTGTTAAACTGACACTCAACTACCTTTCTTCTCATCCCGAAGTTTCCAACCATTTCTTTCTCTGTTACGCTGAGTATTACGTCAATTCTAACTTTTGTTTTTACTCTGGAGGCCATTTCTGAGCAATTATATGAATAATGTCACTCCCAAATACTCAATAATCGACAATTATACAGTTTTGGTAAATATAAATACGACTGTACAGCTGTGTGTAGCTGATTTTGTCAAATTGCCACTGAATTACCTTTTATCTCATTCATGACTCAATGTGTATTTTCGGTGATCATAATGTTCATGATGTTAATGTTTCTGTTGTCTGAATTCTATTGCCAGTTGCCTCAAAGGTTTGTGTTCCACTGGGAGAACCTTGTGATTGGCGTGGACTCAAAGACTGCTGCTCACCAAACAAATGCCAAAAGAACGAAAGTCAATCCGGCAAGTGTGTACGTGAATGTAAGGCATCGTATACCCGGTGTCAAAGGGACGACGAATGTTGTAGCAACAACTGTTTCCAGGGTGTTTGTGGAGCGATATAGACCTGATTTCTTTTGATCTCTATGTTGATTTGATTCCTGAATCATGATTTCCCCCGGGATTCTAATCAAACTTTTCATTAAATATATAATCCAGTCGGATTATTTGATCGTCGTACACTTCGTAACCCTTTAGTTCACACCTCTTGTCATCTTCCTTAAATGATTTCACTATTATTTTTGAAATAATACATGAGCTAATATTTGAATTTTTAAATTATTTTTTGGATTCATCATTTATGTTGATTTTTGTCTCTGTTATGGAGAAGATCTGCCTCACCGACACAATGCCGTTTTACATTTTGATAGTTTTGCAACGTTTTAAAATATTTCATTTAATTATTCTTCCGTGATATGTTTTCGTTGTTTGGAATTTTCACACTCTGAATATTATTCATGTTAGTAGCAGAGGACACGATCACTACTGAGTTGATATGTCTTGAAATCGTTTAGAATGCGGTTCTTTTTTTATTTCTAATTTTGCATCATTGTATTCTGTGATTTGAATAAACTTGATTGTTTCTCTGTTGTCAAGATTTCTACACACACTTAGTTGATATAGTTCACGGATTCGCTCTGCACGCAGAAAAGAGCTTTCGCGGGATATACTTTCCTTTCCGTAAGTAATGGAGGGCGCGTTTCGCATTACAAATTCAGCTAGATTGATCTGAGTACGGCCAAATTACTTTCTCTTACATGATTAGGATAATTTATAGACACAGAATTATGAAACCGGCATTGATAGCTTATTATTCATATGTATAAGAATTATTTTCTTGCGTAAAGGAAGTAGACCGAAGTCTTTCTGCGGAGACGGATATCTCCCATGAAACAGAAAGGCGGTTCGCGGCTATAAACAAGTATGAGCCCTGCTGAATCCTAGAATCAGATAGAGAGGTCATTATTGGGCAGAAAATATGTGTATGCCATTCGCAGTGTAGGTTTTCAGGTTGACCATTTACATTTGGAACTATTTCCAGAGTGTTTCCGCTCTTCGTACTTCAACAAAGTTAACCGTTTGCTGCTGTTGTTTCTGAGGTGCTGGAGAATGCGTTAATTTCATGTGTGTAATTTTGACGCCTTTCAATCACAGATGAATCGTGTGAGCATTTCACGTTGCATATATTGTATTCAACGTATACTTGCTGCTCATGAATATTGCTCTGTTTTCGGAATTATCCCTCTAACTGTCAAACTATCTCTCCTGTAAATCCAATACACAGTACCGATAGGTCATAGAACCTACCTACACACATCGCACACGACATCGAAACTCATATGGTTGAAACACTGACTTAGTGTATTTCAAGCTATCAGTCACGAACACAACCTGGTATCTATACACGCTTTCGTCATTCTCTCCATCTAGAAGACGTTTTCATCAGTGAAGTGGCACATATTGTGAGTGTTGTGTTAAGTGTCTTACATTTTTTGCTTGACCATGTGCATAGTAGATTGACGTGATTTTGTTGTAAGATGAGTCTCTTCATTTAGTCCAGGATGAATTGCGTAGTGATTCTAGGGTGGTGGAGAGGTTTTTCTTTGACGCCATTCAATGCTTTCCTTTGACTGATATTCAGCTGAAGACTTGTACATGAATTCTGAGATATCTCAGTGACCTTCACTTGCATGACTTCCATTGCATTCCTTCGAAGTCATGCTAGCAAATACGTTTGACAGTCTCTGGTTTTAGGATATCTTCAGGTTGGATTTGGACATCAGTGTAGGTTACAGAGAGCTAATATTCTTCGAAATTTGTGTCACTTAAATCGGGAGCTAATGAAGCCGTGAATCTGGGGTTATGCTAATCATTCGGGAGTGTTTCGTTTCTTCACGCTTCGATAAATCATCGACGAGTGAATCTGAACATTGAAGACTTCTCTGGAACTGTGTAGGTCGGTGGAATTTATTGGTGGTTCGGTGAATGAATGAATAAATTAATGATTCGGAACTCAAGTATCCTCTGGTTTGCCTTATTAGATTTCACAGGATGTACTTAATGATTCAAATTTTTGTTCTATTCCAATCAAACTCGCATTGGCTAGCTAGCGAATGTACAACAGCATGGAAACTGGTACAAAATACACCTCAAGTAATAGATTTTCTAGTGTCTGAGTACTATTCACAAGACTCAGACCAATCGATAAATATTGGTGGAGACGAGAACGATTGGTAACGGCCACAGGCAGATCGTCGTCAGGATGGATACACTCCTTGACTGTGAGTATTACTGTGGCTGGATTTTGAGAAAATATTATGTTGATTAGTTTACTGGTGAATTTGTGGATGTGAGGTAACACAAATCGTTTGGGTGTCGTTCGATTCTCCAAGCTTCGATTATTGTGACATGAGCGAGTATGATGACCGAATTTTTCCTGAAGTCATATGAATCAGTGAAGACCACTTTAGACTGCACGACTGATTTGTTTAAGAGTGGAGTGAACGCTTCATTCCTCGATGATAAACCTTATGAGATGGGTGAGTGTAGAACATGCGAAAGCTTGTGTTGCTTTGCTTCCAAACTGGTGTCATATGCGATTGAATAAATCGGTTCTCAGATAATGTGGTTGCAGATTTCCAGAAGAATGATATGCCAACCCTATGTCTGTAGATACGGTAATGTGGTCGTCCAGTAGTTTGATGAACGATGCGCCAACATGCATACCGGGGTTTGTGGATCGAGCCTACTAATTTGTGACCTCTTAGGTGTCATCAGTCTGAACTCTAGTTTGAGTAGCTGTACAAATAAATATTTGACAGAAGCTAGTCCTGGGAATTTGTGCGTCGGGTGACCACACTCTGCATGTAAATTCTGTCGGGAGTTGAGCAAATTGTGATGGTGTGGATGATGGTTATGATGATGATGATGATGACGATGATGAAGATCTCAACAATACTTCTACTTCTTCTTCGACTACTAATGACCATAATATCAGTAATAATTATTACAGTGGAAAGCAGGACGATTAAAGAAACAAATGTTGAGGTAGACATAGTCGATCAACGACACGGAAAATAAATAATCCGACTGAGTGATGGTAGATTGTGAGCGAAGCAAATGAATTCTGTTTTCACAAAGGTGTTTTGAGATTACATGATGACAAGAGAGGAGGGATCATACTTGTACACGTAGAATGGTGGTGGTGGCAGTGGTGGTGATACCGTCAGTTGATTAGATTTCATCTGACCACTGAGGAGATGATCGCTGAATATACTTCTTCTGAACGCATAGTTTAGGCTTAATAGTTTGAATGAAGTAGATGAATACCGAGATCGGCGGAAGGATTCTATGAGATGTGATCAACCAACTTGACTTGAATGTTTTCGCTCTTCTCACTCAATGACCACTATCGACCAAGTGTGACAAGACAGATACTCAGGTGGCTTTTGTTAGTCTCTTATCAAACCACCATTGCGGATGTTCAATGACACGTTGACTAAGCTGCTAGTAGTAGTCCACCCAACATAACTGTCTCTGTAGGAGCAGTTGAATTGATAAATGCACATGGATGTGGCAAAACCTTCTAGCCTATCCTTCGTTTGAGTGCGGATCATTCTCCTACTAGGAGATGGCAAACGTGAGTAAAATATTCTCCGCATACTTCTGGCTAGTTTGTGGAGCGAAATCTCACTTTACGAGTCCTCATTAAACCACAACCTAATAAACACTGGTTTCATTCGTGCTGTCATCCCCTCTCAACCCACTCTATATATGCTTCTTTATGAGGTTACTCGGACTCGGATAATGTGTCTGCACCGAGCAGTCGTGGACATGTAAGAATTGCTTTCACTAGTCATATTCTCATTCCAAGTTTCATGCTCAGTTCTCAAGACACCTAACAGTATTTTTTATATAAAATGGACACATAAGTAACTAGGCTGGTGTGTGATACTACCCCTTACACACTTCTCCCAACTGACACATCTTCTGGCCTACTTGGCGAAACATCCAGAAGATGCGGTCTGTTATCCTCTCCATATTCACAAGTTGTAGTAATTGAAGACTGGATGTGATTAAACTTCATGAACAATTCATTTGTGTTAACAATCTCATTAACTAAGATAAATGTAACACCGACTTAATGCTGATGCATATTCAACTCACTGATGACATCTCTCAATCCTCCTCTTTCAGGTCTCGCAAGGGAGACGTCTGTAAAGATCATGCTTATTGGTGAACGAGGACTCCCTCCATGTACTTATCAGTAGTGTGAATCGGTGAAGACGAAGTGTACATCCAGTGTGCATTTAAGCAGTAGTTCTGTGAGGTAAGATGGGAGAATTCCCAGGTCCATTTGCCTATCGGTGATTTCCTGACATGTGTCGTCCATCGTTTCAACAGCTAGTGCATTCGTGAATAGTTATGATACATCCACAGATAACATAAGTTTATTTAAAGACATCAGTGTCTACAAGTTCACCTGCAGTGGCGAGGGTATACATGTAAGTGTCTATGTACAGGTAGAATCGATAAAGTTGTTGCAATGTTTCGTTGGAAACAACATCTTCGTTTATAGTTATTAGGTCGCACGTAATATTCGTATATACTTAACCTGAATAGATGTCCAGCATCATCCATAATGAGACATTTATGAATGACTGCTTCTCAATTATTATTTTGCATAATGTATATTCGGTGTCATTGAAGGTGATGGAAGCACTTCGGACTGGTCACACGCTTCTCGAACTATGTGTACAGAGAATGATAGACTTTAGGCATCGTGCTGTCCTGAACTGCTTGATGTGTATTAGAGTGGGATTGATTGTTACTGTATTGTAAAACATCCTATTCTATTACGCTGAACCATACTAGTTGGAATGTGGTCATAAAGAAACTATGAAATGATAACTTCGTCTCTCAATATTCATCTTCTATGAGTACTGCCAGATGAATGACATGTGGGCAGTCTGGCAGAGTATAACTCCATCATAGAATGAATGTATTCTGTGATGTTATTCTGAAGCCGTTATTTGTGCCAATAATTACTGTTCACACGTCCTGCCAACAACCACTCAGCT